GGTCATTTCTTTCAAATCTGAAACATCAAAGTACTAAAAAAAAAAAAAAAAAAGATGCTGGTAAAAACTTTCCTTAGAAATCATCACCCAAATACATACAACTTGCAAAACAGTTCTCTCTTTCCTCTTTCAGGAAAAGAAAGGTAGTACGTATGCAATGCCTTTTTGCTTCCTTATCCTATGAAAAAAATCTATAACCCAAAACAGTCAAGAAGCTGCTCAAACTGTGGAGAAAAGCATACCACAAGACCAGGTTATTGCATTTGCAAAGATTGCTTGAAAACATTTCTCACTCTCACATTCCTAAATGAATAGAGAAAGGCATCTGCCTTCAAGTCCTACACCATAAGCACCTGAATGCTCAAGATTCCAGCCAAGACTCATTTTGTACTCATCTGTATTTGTATATTTGTACTGTATTGCAGCAAGCAATTCCTGTATTTGAGTAAGAATATGACTTCTCAGCACATTTCTGCCACTTGTGAATTCCGAACCGCTGGACATTCCAAAGAATTTGTATCAATTTCATTTTATTCAGCACACATACAATACATAGATAGCCAACGTGGCAGGGTCCTGGACAGCCTTACAAATTAGGAACCTCCAACTCTATGATCAGAGTTTTCCAGCAAGAGAGGTGAGTGAGTCCTTGAACTCACTGTTCCTCACTGGCTTAAGCACATGAAATCTTCAGGAATGGATATGTCTCCATCTATGGATGAATAGTACAAAAGACCACCACCACACTACAGCACTGAGTAGCAAGCATTTCTGATGTTCCCTTCTACTATTTCACCTCTCCCCATGGTGTAAGTCTGCACAGATCTGTTTTGGCACCAGCTCTGGGTCCAGCCCAGGGATCAGTGCTGGGACTTGATGACGGAAGAGGGAGAAAAAAATCATTAGACAAATTTATCTCCAGAGACCACAACAATCTTCAGCTGTTCAGGCAGATACCAGGAAAACATCTGTAATAATGTAGGATTTCAGCACAAAGTATTTGTCATGTCTCTCAAGTGCAACATCATTATGCCTTTGCTAACCTGTTGTCTATTAATGTTATATAAAGCAATATAAAATAAATAAATTTTTAAAAATTCATCGCAGTCTTCCTAAGTTTAAAACAAAATGTTCATGGTCATGGAAAAACTAATCCTATAGACAATTTCTGGGTTACCACGGCTCCACATCAGTCCAACACATCTGTTTCCAATCCATTTTAGATAGGGATCACTGGGACACAGGTCATTGGGTATCTCACCAAAAAATTTTCATTCATTATAGGTGTCCGCTTCTTATTCTGGTTTGTCACATGTCAGAGGCATTCCTTCTTATCCATCTGGTTTACAGTAGTGGTCCTTATATGTATAGTGGCACTGCATGGGAGTGACTGGAGGGGAAGTGATGCCACCTGGAAGAGAAAACACAGGTCACTGGCCAGCAAACCCTGCCCTTCTCTGGATGGTTGGTACTGACCTGTCTGGGTCACAAACTGAATCCCACCAAGCCATTACGATGTCAGTGCATTATTAGAAATTAAAATATTCCATCTTGCTATTTCGTCTCGATTCTGACTTCCATTTTAAATTACTTTGTCTCTTGTGCCCTGTTAAATTGATTTGTTATGCTAAATTTGTGCCAAATAAATAATGAGCTTCCTAATTAGCTTATGCTGAAGCAAGGCAAGGATGAAATTATATCCAACTGTCTTAGTGTCTAGGGCCCTATGAAAAAAACACACTGAAGATACTAGAAACTGTGCAACTCTTCAACACATTAGTTGTTAGCATGTTGATTCCCGGTACTCTTATGCTGTAGGGAAGCAGTTGCTTTGAATGCCTCTAAGAGCACAGAGCTTAGCTCTCATCACACCAGTCTCACAGATAGCTGCAACCTACAGATGAAAATTCCAGTAAGTAGTAGAAGAAAAATGTGCATTCACATGTGTCTCCTGAACAAATAACTGACACAACCTTCTGAATTAAAAAATATTGCTTCATTTTATTTTTATCTTAACAAATCCACAGCCTTAGCCAACAGGCATAAATAACCCACGAACTCTGGCATATTTTCAAACTTTTAAAGGGATCTGAGTTTCTATCCCATCTTTGTAGTGGGGTCTCAGCCTTGTACAGCAGCAAATGCAAGGAAAAATTTTGGCCAAAAAGATCAGAAGGGAATCTCTGCCTCCACTTAAACCGATGGGAAAAAACCTTGTTAGCCACCATCAGCTCAGTCCTTAGTCCTAAGCTGAAGATTCCTATGTCACCTAAGAGGGGAAAGAATAAAAACCAAGGCTCTGGTAAGGTCTTTCTGCTTTCATAGGCAAAACAATGCCTATGATACTGGCTGTTACTATTGCCATCACTAGTTTTACTATATTATTACCTTTTACTCTTCCTATTATTTCAAAATTGTTAACATTACTGTTACTATTGACTTCCTAAAGGATTACTACTCTGTCCAGACAACTTCTGGTATTTTTACATGGCAATATTTCTGACCAGATGTACATACATCTTCTGCTGCTCTTTTCAAACATTGTATTTAATGAGAAATTCAGGAACAACATAAATTTTTGTCAGGACTTAGATCCTGAAAATAGTGCATATGAAGCAGAATAAGTACCAGCAACTTTAATAGCTAACCAAAGAATACCTCTAATCTATCAGCCATGACAGGTATTTTCTTCCTTCATGGGAGAAGTCTCATGAAAATACATTATGAAATGTAATTAGACACATGCATTTCTTTTGTCAAGAAAGATAAATACTTCTTTGGCTGCTAGTGTTCACCATGAGATTAATAACCATATGGCATGGTTATCAGCAGACTGAGTCGTGAGAAGGGAAAGCTGTTCGCTAGATTTACCTAGAAGTTAGTATGTCTAACCAGCAGAAAGAAGACTTCCTATTTAAACAACATCTATGGTTGCACAAGATGAAAAGAGAAGTATGAATTTTTTGCCTAGATAGGAAATACTTTAGCAAAAGCTTATAAATGTATGATGCAGGAATTGCCTTACAAGCCCAGACCAAAGGTCCATCTAGTTGAGTGTCACACTTGAAACATAAGGTAAAAACAGGCTCTCACATAAAGAGTGAAGGAATGGTGGCATGTGATTTATATTGAATATAGCAAAAACCTCTTCATTGAAAACATAATTAAGAATTGGATATGGTACTCAGGGAAGTAGTTCATTTACCTGTGGCACCAACGTTCCTAATGGATGATGATGATTGTTGTTGTTGCCATTAAAATTTCAGATACTAGATGGTCAAATTAGTGTTTGGGCAGGGAAAAAAATGATAAAAACAGCAGGAGAAAATGTATCATCATAAAAATATATACTACATCACAGCATGTGGTCTTGAGAGATTAAATCATTCCAGGAAGACTAACACCAAGCCCTTGTGTTCAGTTGAAGAAAGATGAACTTTAATGCTATGTAATATAATTTATTTAAACTCAACACATGTTCATATGTTTGCTGTAATGCTAATACGTAATGTGATCCAGAAACAAAATTGTTATCGTTTACAAGTGGGTGTTATCTAGGCTGCTTTGCTGATGTAGGAGAAGTCCACTTTTCTCAAGGACTTTGGTCACAGTAAAATCATATTTTTAACTTCAATTGTTTTTTTATTTTTGTTTTTTTGATGGGTTTCTTTGTTTCAGGACATGATTTGGAGAGTGGCTGAGAATGGGGAAGGGCTGAAATAGAGGACTATAGGTAAGGTAACTTAGATTGAAGAATTGAGTGTACAGAAATCAGAGTTATAACAGGGTCAGCTGCAAAGGGTTATTTGGATCCCCCAGTGTGCTGAGCTGTTTGGCTGATAGACAAGGACTGTGTAACAAGATGGATGACTGCAGGGATAACAAGGATGTTTCTTCATTTGTACTGTTGAACACTGCCCTGAAGAGTCGCATTTCAGCTCGGGTATCTACCTAAGAGTTCCTGTGTAACAGGAGATGTGTTGCTTCAATATTTTACAGATCACTAAGCATATGACACATTTTTTCAAGTGCCATTGAGCAAGGGGGAATGTAGGAGACCTGAGCTCTCAGAGCTGCAGCTGAAGGCAATGAGAACTGGTCTTTGACATGTTTCTGTGGCATATGATAGTGAACCATTTTGTATCCCTAAACATTTCACCACACTTATTTTTCTAGTTGCTGTTAAAATCATCCTTTCATTAGTGAAACAAATACAAATACTCCTTTTAATTCACGGAAATATATGAAGTCTTATGTTTAAAGCACTCACATAGCACAGTGACAGACACTTTTAAAAGGCCTGTGAAGAAATTAATTATTCTATCTTCACAGTAGGGTTTGAAATGTGTATGATAAAGAAGATAAAATAAATGTCAAATAACTGCTCATGTAACCAAGCACCAGCCAGTCATGGGTCACTTTGAAGAAAAACAAGTGTGCACATAATTACAGTATCAGAAGATATAAAGTGGCAGCTGAAATGAGATCGGAGACATAATTCTGACACTCTGTGCTGTTTAAGTGTTTGGCTTTGGAACCCCCTAATCACGTCCATTTATCACCAAGGGTGGAATGAATTCATTTTTTAAATCAACAGAAAGCCACTATTCAAAATAAGGCTACTGTTTGTCACTGATTAGACATAAAAGTACCTTACTATCAGGACACATCATGAAGCTCTTCAGGTACCTTGCAGATAATCTCAAAACATTTCATAATGACACTAGGGTGATTAAACACCAAATTACCTCACCCCAGCTCAAGAGGTGACATTCACTAAGAAAATCTTGTAAATGTTCCTGTTGGTCTGTGGAGCTGTCTGTGTGTCTTTTGTGCATAAATGGAGACCTCTGCCTGCACCAGGGTGTCCTTGGAATCACCATGTTTTATGTGCAGGGTCATATTTTTGAATAAAATATTAACAAACTGGCAGCAACCGGTTACACTCTGTAAAAAGCTAAACTTGTCTGTGTCTGGGATAAACTTTAGCCTAAGACATATTAACAGGTGGTGAAAGACATTTGGCTCTCTTTTTAAAGTTCTTTTCTCCTTTTTCTCCCTTTTACAGCTACTTGGGATGCACCAAGAAACATTTTCATTATCCAGAAGTGAAATGCACCATTAGAAGATGCTGCATGCAAGACAAGACTGTTGGCATTTCACTTGAGCTCAGGTCAGTTCCCGCATCCAGGCAGGGTGAGAGCAGCTTTTATAGAAACTTTCAGAGTTGATACTGAGACAGCTGACACCAGTGCACCCTGAGATACCACTCATCACAGTGCTTGCTGCACGACCAGATTCTGCACAGGCTATTCTTCAGCGAACTACAGCACCACTGTTCCCACTGTCAGCTGAATGAAGCTGGTGCCCATCTCAGCAGGAAGTGCTCAGACCCTGTGCAGAGGTTTGGAGATGTGGATAGGTGAGTTGTTTTGTTTTATTTTGTTTTGTTTTGTTGGTGGTTTTCTGGCTGTTTTATCAACAGCAGGGATCCTTGTAAGCACTGAAGCTCATCAGAAGGTGGCTAACTGTAACGACAGTTAAAGGGCTGCAGGATTTAACCTGACCCTTTTTCTCTTCCTCATTTCTTTTTAAATTACCTTCCTTCATTGGGAAAGCTATTGGATTTTCCTTGTCTAATACAAAATCTACTGAAAGTTCTTAGTTAAAAAGGCTGGGACAGGAGGGCAGGCAGAGAAGCCAGTCCTCCAGAACAGGAGCCCTGTAGTTTCTTTGGTGAACTATGATGTCAGCATGGTGTCTGCTGTCACATTGTTGTGTCAGGAAAGCCATGATGTCTGAAATGACCAGTACCAGGCCAAGCTGAAAAAAATGAAGACTCAGACTTAAGGACAGACATGAACATAAAGCCAGAAAGAAAAGGAAAATAAATTTATTGAGATCTTTACCATTAAGTGATGTTCACACTGGAAATCAAATCTTCAAAATAAGGTCATAGCTTGCTTTCTGGATGGTGATAGCTGTTTCTGCTGCAGCAGTCCTTGCAGCAGGATCTTGAATTGGATGGAGTGAGACTACTCATAACTCTGCCCTTCTTAGTCCTTACAGCCCAGTTGGCTATAGTTTCACGTGACCACTCAAGCACGAGAATAATCCATCACTATATATTTTATAAACCAGATGCAAAGAGCTTAAATAGCTTAATAATGTACAAAAGACTGCATTGCATGACCCTTTCCGTATGAATGGCTTACTATGCCTGTTTACAAGTGTTTTAACTATGCACTATTTGATCAGTTCTGCAACCAGGACTGCCTAAAGTAGTCTTTGGAAGGAAAGGTCAGATTGTCCCACCAGAATATTGAGTGGTGCTTTTCAGCATATGAATTGGACAAGGACATAGTTACCACTAGGAAGATTCCTGCACCATGCAGTTGAACACCTATTTGTCAAGTTGGCCAGAAGTTAAGTCTCTCACCTGGTACCAAGAGGGTCCATCATCTCCATTGTCTCCCTTCTGGTGACAGCTGGTTGGGGAGCTCCTGGGTTATCCCCAAATTAACCACTCAGGAGCACTGGGTTCACGCACACAGGCGCAGCTCTGATATCCAACTGCACTATGGTAGAAGGGTAGATGGATGGATTGGCTTGTTTTACCTCCAGAAAAGTTTAAGTTCTGGATGCCAGCATCACTTAGAAAATGTCCATTTCCCATATTCAAGGCATAGTACTTGAGAAGCTTCTGATTATCTCCAGTGTGCTATTTTGCATAAAACAAGCTTTGTTAATCCCCTGTAGCAGAGCATTGCAAGGGCTCTGGACAGACATAGACACAGTTCATGAGTATTAATTGATTTACACAAGGGCTGATATTGAAAATACAGCAGCAGGCTTAGTTGAGGCCTGCTGCTCCACTGTCTCACACCACCTACTACCCATGTTCTCTTATCAGAAAACAGCAAGAATGGAGTTTTGCATAAGACAAAAAATCACATTTGGGTTTGCAAGAGTATAATCTACGGCCAAGACAAGATTGTTCTAAACTATTTGCATCACAAGAGAAGTTTAACCCTGATGCGAGAAATTAAGATTCAAAATACACCTTTCCTGCAGACTAAAATCAGCTTTGTAAACCAAAAGACATCACACAGTAACAGTCCATAAACACTGCATGCAACAAAGGAAATTAAATGCTTTTAAACACAGTCTTTGGGTAATTTATAATATCAGCTTTTCAAGGAAAAGTTGAGTATTGAGCACAATTGCTGCCCCACGGTGAGAAACTAAATGCAGGACTCTTATTCAAGAAACATAACTGCTCAGCAGTTCTGTACAAGCAGTAATACTGACCAAAAGTTCGTCACTCATATCTTCTGCCTGCCACAGGATCGTGGATGAGGGGTCTGCAAAAATTTGCTCACATCGGTAAATCTCCTTCAAACAAGTCTTGCTAGTTTGTCATCTGCTGTGCAAGGCCTCAGGAAATAAAAACCTACAAAGCAACAGATTTGTGTAAAGGGGACGCTTATTAATGTGAAAGATGGCAAGCAGTATAATGTTTTTGTTTACTGCAGGGACAGACTAAGGATCTTCTACTAGCTAAGAAAATAATTAACACCTATGCATTAGATATCATGAAATGAGAGGAAGCAAGAGGAGAAAAAAACAAGGTATGCTGGCATACATCTTCAGCTCACTTGGCTTCAATAGATCACTTTTTAAACAGGCTATGATCTCTCCAGTGCAGAAAGAACAATCCTCAGGAGCGCTGCTGATAAGAAGCATGGTGACATGGTTTTGCAGGCATAACAGGAGAGAGGCTATAAGAATCCCCCATACCAATCCTACCAGGTGTTTCTGCTCCCTGCAGGGCCTCACACAGATGCTACCCCAACAGGAACTGTTTCCTCTCTCTGGTCCTTGAATGACATTATATGAGATCAAGCCTAGAAGTATCAGAGGGATGAGGATTTTTACAGGTAAAATGAAAAGTGACGTGTCCTTTCTCAAAGTAGTGGTAAACTGAATAGTCCAGAGTGGTCAATATTGGAGAAGAACTCATAGCATTTGCTAAGTGGAATACATGACAGACTAAAATGTTTCTTTAAAGTACTGCAGAACATCTGCAAAACATAAGAATTTAATGCATATCTGAGTTTCAACCAAACTCTTCACTCCCAAGATCTCCTTAAAATAATAAAATCTGGCATGCTGAGAGAAAACATGTTTAAAAATGCCAGGGGAAGAGCTAACTTTCCAAATCCCTATTCTTCTTCCTCTGTATATTATGAGAAAATCTGCTTTCCCTATGAGCACTTGGAATTTCCATCAATAGCATTCACATGCAATGATAGTCATTAAAAAGGTCTAATCATTATGCTGACTGTATTCACTAAGTTGTGAGAGTTACCTGCTCCTGGAGTGTTTCCTCTCCAGTGATTCCTTTTTCCCTTTCATTAAATACCTCTATTATTTTATTTTCTTGGTCCCAGGGAAAAGGTGTACAGAATTAACGTGTTAGATGAAAAGCTTTCATTCTGGTAAGTGCTTAAGGGGAAACTCGCATAAACACCAGGAGAAAATAGAAATAACTCATTTCCATTTCTTTATTTCTGAGGAGTGACTGATTTCTCTGTCAGACAGCTTAACAAGGCTGGAACAGAAGTTGTATCTCAAGTGAATAATAATGAGAAAAGAATGTGATTTGAGGTGCCTATTTAGTTCTGACTTATGTATTGGCCTTTGCTATAGATCAAGTAGTTTTTATACTAAAATAAAACAGAGTCTTGGCCCAAACAAGTCAGTGGAAAAGTCCTAGCTTTAAGTCAGGCCTGAAAAGGACCATCCTCTTACTGGGAATGGTGAAAAGAGTTTTTCTTTCTGCTATTTTTTTCTGTTCCATTATCTTGTCTTATAATCACCATTTTCCCTTTCAAGTCTTCTTCTGTCCCTCTTGTAATGACTTTAAAGACCTCCAGTGTTGCAGTTGCAGCATATAAATAAACACACAACTAGAGAACGTAACTGTGAAGATTTATTTTCTGTTTTCAAATTCCCAGAATTTCACCTCAAAGACACCTCCAGGTTTATAGTCTGTCAGTAAAGAGCTGTGACTCTGCTAACAAATCGGTGCAGAAATTAGTAACAGTTTGTAGAATTAGAATTAGTATGAATGTTGTTTCTGCCATGTGAGCCCACAGGCCGGACAGTCCATCCACGGAAGACCCTGCAATCCTCACACAGACCACCCGAACACAGATGTCTTGGCACTTGTGAGTGTGAGAGCCTGAGAGGCAGAAATCCAACTGCACAAAGACTTAGTGCAATAAGGTCAGCTTCCTCTTCCTTAAGAACATGCACTAAATATTGTGACAATAATCTTGCACTGAGGTCCTGATCATGGAAAGGATATTCACATATAGCATCCTGTCAAGGTGAAAGCACCCAAGGGGTTATTGCGATAAGGACAACCTTACGGTGGTTACAGTAACTCACAGAAACTTGAGCCTCAAAATCCCAGGCACAGGTAATCAGGGGAGCAAACTGTTGTAGCAGCTGAAGCTGTCAGGGCCCTGGCCTTTAAATAAAAGACAAAATTTTTGTCCACCCAACAATATGAACCCATGGGAGGCAAAACAAGATGGAAAAAAAACCTCTCACAGTCACCCATGTGGACAAAAGCCATGCATACTTTGCCTCAAACAGGAAAAGCTATATGGCTATAAAGATGATAAGTGTCTGGAGGGCTGCCCAAGACCAGTGGCACCCCCTCTTACTCACAATAAGAGGCTCCATCTCCTCCTCCTTCTGGATTTAACCACACAGACTGCAATAACAGGACAACGGAAGCAAGGCGTGGAAGTACAGAGCTGTTTCCCCTGAATATAGAGCTAAATCTAAAAAAAAAAAAAAAAAAAAAAAAATAAAAAAACAAAGAGTAAAAGCTCTTTTTAACTACCTAAATATTGCTTTTTATACCGTGTAAAGAAAATTACCCAGCAAAAAGAACAAGAAAGTAACCATTAAGGATGCCAAAGAGCAGACTGAGGCAACAACCAGTCTGGACCAGTGAAATGACAGTGCTGACCCCTTTTTGCTTTTGCTTAAAATATCTTCATGCACTTCTTATGGGCTTTTCTTTTTCCTGCAGAATTATTTATTTCCTGATATAATACATTATGTGTGTGTTTGTTTATGGTTTAGGTTTGTTTGTTTTCAAAACACATTAGGTTTATAAACTCTCTTTTATCTGTCTCTTTGGTTTATTTGAACTACAATAGATCAGACGGGATTAGTTGCTTAGCAACTTTTCGGTGGCAGAATCTATTTTGGAGAATTTGCAATGCTTATACTGGAGGTCAGAAAAATTTTAAATATCGTAAGCCAACCAGAAAATACGTTCCAATAACAAAGATTTCTTCCAAGGCTTCTATTTCAATAAGAGAGGATTTCAGAATACCA